ATAATTGTGTTTGTGACCAATAAAGGCCTTGAATCCCTTGAAAGAGACACAAAATGACAGTAAAAGACAAAAAATGACCACAAAGAGACACTTTAAAACCCTAAAAAGACTGAAAATGACCACCAAGAGATGCAAACTGTCTATGAAGAGACATAAAATGACGAAAAAAGGTTCAGAAAGAGACTGAAAATGACCAAAAATGGACACAAAATAACCACAAACACAACATGACGAAACAATCTGATAGAAAGAGACAAATAATCATCACAAAGAGAAGCCAGCTTTCAGAAAACAACTCCAAAGACAAAACAACTAACTGCAGAGAAACAACAGAAAAACACACAGAACGACCTCATAGAGACACAAAACGCCCAAACAGACACGTCTGGTTCTTCAGCAGCATCGGTTGTGGTCTGACGTTCTGGACGATTCAGAGACTCGGCTCAGCTCAGACCTTCTTCTGACCTGAACTCAGCAGCTGATCAGTTCCTGATAAACTACAGCAGCTCGTAGAATCTGATAACGTCATTTCAGAGACAGGACGACCGACAACGATCCCGTCAGGTGTGTCGTTACTTCCAGGTGAGCGGCGTCGGCCGGCTCAGCAGGGTTCTGCTTCCTGAGAGGCCATCAGCTCGTTTCTTTCAGCTCCACTGAATCACTTTTCCAGCTTTTACACCGAAGCTGTCACAACGCTCCGTGTTTACGGCCGACAACACAAGCTTTTGTCTCTGCAAAGCCTCCGTCAATATCCACTTAGCTGCTGTTAGAGAAAACACCGTCCACCGGGTTTGTGAGGAGGAGCCGCCCCTCAGCATCCTCTGTTTATCTTCTCCTCCATAGAAACTCACAGCTTTAGAAACCTGAACACTGAACACAGCAGCAGGTTCAAAACGCTTTTAAATGAAATATCTGCACAAAACGACGGCAAGACAGACAAAAAGACACAAAACGAAATCAGACAGAAAACGACGAGAAAGCTACACACAATCATTACAGACAGAAAACGACGAGAAAGCGACACCAGATCACTACAAAGCAGCACACAATGAATGCAGAGACAAAAGTGACACCAAAGAGACACAAAATTGCGACAAATAAATGCAAAATTGCCAAAAAGTGATACAAAATATCTACAAAGAGACACAAAATGACCACAGAGACACAAAATGACCACAAAATGATACAAAGCATTGACAAAGAGACACAAAATAACCACAAATAGACACAAAATGACCACAAAATGATACAAAGCGTTGACAAAGAGACACAAAATAACCACAAATAGACCACAAATAGACA